TCGAGGTGTCTGGTGGAGGCTAGGACTTGACTCTTGGCATGGATAGCTTCTGTGTTGCACACACAGCCGGTCAGCGTCAGCTTGGTGGTTCGCAGACATCCTGTTCCCGCCTCGCATACCTGCCTGCTCTGCTGACACTGGAATCCTGTGTGGAGGGCACAGGAAGGAGCCCCTGTCAGATGTCCATTTTCAAGGGGATATAAATGAGCTGACAAGTACTATGGTGATCAGGCTGTCAGGACCGGAATTGCACTGCATAGTGTTGAGTTTTTCCTGGACTAAAGGTCAGTACCATCATCCTTTCACACTCCATTTCATCTATTTGTTTACGCTTTTTTTGAGTTTTGTATTTTTGAGCTCCTTAGTTTACAAAACGGTGTGTTACATAAAAAGAAAAAACATTTCTAGATTATAGTAATGGCGACTACGTTTTCTTGCACTGATCTTGGATGATCTTACTGTTGGATATGTATATGTGAAGAGGGTGTTGCTGCTGTCTCCCTTATCCAGTCGCTATATTTTTTGGTATTTATCTATAATCAATTTTTTATTATACTTTTTACTACCACTTTTGGAGTATTGTCCTTTGAGATGGTCAAATTTTCCTAAATATTCAATATTTGGATTATTGTCATTGATTACCCTGTATGAATATATATATATTTTTATAATCTACCAGTTACCAAGTGCCACAGTGGTTCCTACATCTACTGCCCAGAATTTTGCTGTCGCTTTTTCCTGTCCTGCCATGACTGTAGATTTCTGCATTGAAGTGTTACTATGATGAATATACAGCGAGTACACAATCCCTGTTTTGTAATATATACATGTTCTGATAGTATATATTTTTTTTTTTACGTTTTTGTTGTAAATTTACTGAAATTTGCCCCTTTGAAATTATAGGGCCCCCTGAAGAAACAACTGTATGGCAAAACACGTCGGGTTTCCGGTATTTCCTGCAGAGTATCCTCCATCATTTGTCAGACATTGGAATATTCACAAGGATGTTATCTTCTTAATCTATGCACCATTTACATACTGGAGGACATAGCAAGGTTCACTCTACATAGGGCACCTATTATGCAGTAGCATATCTGCGATGTTTTTATGGAATTTTAATCATGTTGTTCAATAAAATATGTTGAATTTTATCAGGGTTCCTGACTACCTTTTGTTAGGTTATGTTTGGTACCAGTTTTTCCTGATCTCTTTTTCTTTGTTTTACGCCAATCTGTTCATGGTTTCAAAAGCCAAGGGCAATTTTTGTCCTATCCTGGACCTGAAGTGCCTGAACATCTTACTTCAGAAGTTTCAAATAGAATCAGCCAGGTCATTCATTGCATCCCTGTAGTAGAGAGATCCACTGGCATCAGTGGAAATCAAGGATGCCTACTTACACAATTCCATTTTCCCCCCACACACCAGTGATTTTTTACATTTTCTTGAGGGTGACTATCATTTTCGGTTTGTGGCTCTGCAGTTTGGCCTATCCACTGCTCCTGAGGCCTTCATCAGGGTGTTTACACTGTGGGTTACCTGTATGATCTGCTAGTGAAGGATCAATCAGTCCAGGCTTTCAATGCCAACATACAAAGAACTGTACAGATTCTACAGAACTGCAGTCGGATCCTCAACTCTCAGAAGTCTGCGCTGGATCCCACATACCATCTGGAATACTTGTGACCTGCCCTGGACACCACGGGCTGCAGGAAAGAAAAATCGCTCAATTCCCCCATCAACAGAGTCAGTGTTAATGGGGGAATTCCTTCAAGGTAGCAGTCCCTGCTGGGAGAATACAGTGATTACTGCTATCGCCTATAATAGTCACTAGCAATAATCAAATGTAAAATCCGACAGTATGGTTGAACTTGGGTACTTTCAACCTGCCCATACATGGCTCGAATCTTGGCCGGTCCCTGCCTAACCGGACAATATTTAGGCTATTTATGGCCGGTTTTAAAGATTCTGTTTTTTGTCCCAATGGATGGCTCTTACATAGAGCATCCCGCTTCTCGTTTCACTGTCGCTAGGTGGATTCGACAGGTCATTGTTAAAGCCTATTCCCTACAGGACAAGGTTCCCTCCTTTCCTGTTAAGACCAACTCCACTAGGTCTGTGGGAGTTTCTTGGGCTTTTCAGCATAAAACATCTGTTTCACTGATTTGTAAAGCTGCCACCTGGTCTTAGGTTCACAAGTTTTGCCAGGTGAATGTTCAAGCCTCTGCTGATGCCAACATCTGCCGTGAGGTGCTATGAGTAGCTGTCTAGTTAGGGTCTTAAACCCTTGTTTATTTGCTGTGGGCCTGTTGCTCTGTTGCCCACCTCTTTTTATGTATTGCTTCTGGGTGTCCTGGTCAAACTATGCCTATGTCCTGTACTGTACGATCAAAAAAAGAAAGGATTTTTGACTTGCCTGTAAAAATCCATTTCTTGGAGTACAGTATAGTAAACTGGACAGACCGTGTCTCCGTTAATCCTTATTGCTTTATACTGGGGATACCCATCAGTGGGAGGGGTTATAAGGGGATCCTAACAGCTCTGTTTGCCAATGTCCAATAATCTAAATGTAGCAACATATCTAGTCTAAGACCATGCCTGTGGCTTGTACTGCACTCCAAGAAGTTTACAGGTAAGTCATTTAATTTAATACTTACCCTTTTAACATGTAAATATAATAAAAGGAAAAACGAATAAAGAAAGAATATAAGTATAAAACCACTTTACAAAGGGATCTGCAGGCACCTCAAAGTGTCTAACTACTTTTAGGCCTTTGTGTCATGTGATGTAGTGTGCCCCAGCAGCACCCAAACCCAGAAAGCTCAAAGTGTAATAGTTACTTCTACCTCTTTAACCCCCTTTTTCAATGAAAAGCCTCTATGTAAACAGAACATGTACTATAAAAAGCAGTAAGCCAATCACGTGAGCAGGCTATCCTGGGAGATCTATAAACAAACTATGTGAAAGAACATCCGCAGTGTTGCCATCATTGTAATAATTACATGGAAGCAACCTTTGACATGTTTTCAGTATTAGAAAGTTTTATTAACATCAAATATAAAATGGCTAAGGTGTTGCAATATGTTTAAACCACTTGCACATTTACTGCAAGCAGGCAGCAATTGCAGACTCAGTAACGTACACATATGTAGCTGCCTGCTTCTGAGCATGCACCCCCTGCTGTGACTGGACATAACGCGAGCTTGTCAGCAGGTTTCAGCCAATTATTTTGCCTGAAACCTGCTGATTGGCTGTGTCCAATCACCGCACAGAGTTTTGTGTTTATAAAACACACAGAACTCTGTGTACACAGAACAGCGATCTGGCCGTTTCTTCTCCCTAAAAAACGGGGAGAAAAAAACAGCCAGATCTGTGAGTAAAAGAAGCATTTATTACACACATTACACTTGTTAAGCACACAGCTAACCTCTTGCTTGCCCCTTGTTAACCCCTTCCCAGCCAGTGTAATTAGTACAGTGTACATTATTATCTCTGATCATTGAATTAGTGTAATTAGCGACATCCGTGTCAGTTAGTGTCCCTCCCAGCCAGTGTCTGTTAGAGTTAGATTGTGCGCCACACTACCAGTCACACTTTAAGTTGCTGATCACGGTCATTATTATTATTATACAGTATTTATATAGCGCCAAAGGGTATGCTCAGCGCTGTACAGTAGCAAGGGGGACAGAACATGAGACAAGACAGTAACAATACACTACACGAGGGGTTCGAGGGCCCTGCTCTTTCGAGCTTACAATCTAGGAGGGAGGGGAAGGTGGTACAGGAGGAGATGCATTATCAGTATAGCATCTATAGCTGTGTAAATTCCAGTATATGTACCATAGTTTGTAGACTACAACGTTCACACAAACCAATTAACATACACTTATTGGGATTTTTTTTTTAACCAAAGACATGTAGCAGAATACATTTTGGCCTAAGTTTATGAAGAAATTTGATTTCTTGAATTTTTATTGGATAAGATTTATAACAGAAAGTAGAAAATATTTTTTTTTCAAAATGTTTGGTCTTTTTTTCTTTTATAAAATAAAAATTAAAAACCCCAGTGGTGATCACATACCACTAAAAGAAAGCTCTATTTGTGTAAAAAAAATTACACATTTCATTTGGGTAGTGTTGCATGACCAAGCAGATGCAAGTTAAAGTAGCCCAGTACTGAATAGCACAAAAAACCCTGGCCATGAAGGGGGTAAAACTTTACAAAGGTCTTGTGGTTAAACAAAAGTTAGGCTTTTAATAAAGGCATGGTAATATGATTTGTAAATTGAAACAAAATTGTAGTACACTGCTCAAAAAAATTTAAGGAACATTTTGAAAACACATCAGATCTCAATGGGTAAAAATATCATGCTGGATATCTACTGATAATGACTGGGTAATGTGTTAGGAACATAAGGATGCCCCATTGTTTGAATTCAGTCCTCTGTAGGTTGATCATTTTGATTTCCATCAAAAACACCCAGAAAATCAAAGTAAAAAAATGACGCAGCAGGCTAGTCCATTTTGCTGACATTTTCATTGCAGAAACTCAAAATGGTACCCAGTAGTTTGTATGGCCCCCACGTACTTGTGTGCATGCCTGACAAAGTTGCGGCATGCTCCTAACGAGACGACGGATGGTGTCCTGAGGTATTTCCTCCCAGATCTGGATCAGTGGCCTCCACCTGTAAAACCATTCCTGTTTTTGGGGGTCGTCTCATTGTTGCTCATCTAGTGCACCTGTTAATTTCATGAACTCCAAAGCAGCTGAAACTAATTAACAACCCCCTCTGCTACTTAACTGACCAGATCATATCCCGAGTTTACTAGACTCAATGCTATACTCTGATTAAAAAGTGTTCCTTTTACTTTTTTGAACAGTGTATATGTTGAGAGTCAATACCAAGCTTTCCAACTTTAAGCAACAAGCTTGCAGTATGTCAAATGTGTAAAACACAGACCAAAACATAAATGCGAGGACAGATTTACCAATTAATACTCACACCACCGGGAGCTTGACGTGTTTGACTAGTAGCTTGGAAAATCTTTGCTGGCTCATCTCCAGTCTTGGAATATGTCATTACTGAAGAAGACTTAAATGAATGAGTGTCAGGATTGTCTGACAATCCTTCCTACAGGAAGCAAAAGCAAAATGGGTAAATATACTACAACTGGAAAAAAGGACCTCATTGCATATAATTCATGTAACAGTTCTCTGTATTGAATGATGATTTTCACTTGACATTCCAATGCAACTGCTTTAGTAGCCAATAAAGGCATTTTTGGAAAAGACTGTTGGCGGAGGACCCAGAAGCAAAAGTACAACAAAATCAGAAAAAAATTTTGGCTATTAAAAGGTAATAGCAAGCATCTTCTGGAATCAGCTTTTAGGCAAAAGGTTTACACATACCCATTATAAATTAAGTAGGACATACTTTAAATACAAACAAAATGACCAAAATGTCTGTATGAGTGATTGCTATGGTGGTTTTAATTTAGTGGTGATATCTTTATGCAGTAACTTACAACATACAAGGACACGCTACAGATCTGACAGTGTTTTTTTCATTACTATCAGTTTTGGTGTCTATGCAGTTTGTACTTAATTATCTCCAAAACAGTTGGTTTCTTCCACAGTTCCAGAAACAGATGAAAGGGCAAAATTAGCAAATACATCATCTGGATGCAACACAGAGAAAACCAATAGCGTGTAAGCCTACATTGCGCTATCATACTATCAACAGTGATTTAAAAAAACTGCAGTCAAATAAAAAAGCTTTATACATTTAATACAGGAACATATATGCCATACACAAAAACAAAGGGTCATTGCACATTTACATTTTTCTCCTTACTATATACATTAAATGCACAAACATTGTAACTTATCTAAGACCCCTTTCCCTGTGGCGATACCATACTATCTGGTCTCCAGTAAGTCTATAAGTAAAATATGTGCGTTTGTTTACACTCAATCACCTCCAAGTCTAGAAAAGAAATGGAAAAGGTCTGTGTCGTTTTACTGTTTGTTGGACCTAAACATGACGGATCGGGGTTAGTCTGATGCAAAAGTCCATTTTCATTCGGCCACCCATAGATCCAAAAAGCAAAAAAAAACAAAACAAAAACTGATTAGGCACAGATGTTCACTAATTCAGCAAGGAATCTGTTCACACCGCTAGTGTGAAAGGGCCCTAATAGTTCAGGTTAAAAAGCAAAACCTTAAAGAAAAAAACACATACATAAAAGTACTGCTTACATCACACTAGGGGTGTTTTGATAGTACAGGATGTGTCCAAACATGCAGCCATCTAGCAATATGATAACAGCAGCAGTCACGGGAAGAGGTGCTGCTTAATATACACTTGTTCTACGGTTACTGGAGTGTCTACGTTTTTGGAAGAGCAAATGTGAGCATGAGAGCAGATAGCACGATTATAGTATAATGATCCCAGAGCTAGAGTGTCTGATGTGCGAGTGAAGATTAGGATTTTTTTTTTTTTAAACGCTGGAGATGCAGCCTTAGGAGGGAGATAATATTACTACATTAAAGTATGAGTCATTCATATATAGACTTGGCTGATACACTGTACACATAAGCACCTCACCCAGCCTTGAACTATGACCAAACATGGCAGAAAGCTACAATGGCCTGTATGTGAAGGGAATGTTATTAATAGTGATACATACTCAAGTATAAAAATGATGCATTAAATCAAACGCAACTATAGACCAGGGCATTTTCTTGGAAAGGCTAAACAGATCTTTGGCATACACCGAGGATTCCAGGGGCTTGAAAAAAATCTGTTCATCACTGGCAGGGGCAGTGAATGAAACTGTTGTCAGGTCACAGGGAACATGTTTTCTGGCAGCCATAGTGTAGGGGGAGGAAATGCAATACAAATAATACAGGTACACTTGCCATTTAGCTACAACTAGCACCATTAAACACTTTAAAACCTAGATAAAATTGTTTGTTTCTTTTTTTCTTTCTTAGGTTTTGGATAGAATGGGGAGGAGTTACAATTCCAGGTTTGAATGACACCATTTGATAAATTTTCTCTCATTTTCTGTCCCTGTGACACCAGGCAAGAAATGGGATGCAGTGAAATGGGAACAAACAGTAATACAAACATTGCCAGATGTTATAAGCCTGTCCTACTTTCTAAACATGGGGTTTTGTTTTTGTTTGTGTGCTCCATGTCTTAATTAATTGCAGCTCTGTTCAGAAAAAAAGTTTTTTTTCTGAAGCTTTTGTTGGACTTTAAACTTCAATGGCAACTGAATGTGTATGCCTCTGTAATTCCCACGTTTTGTTAGGGATGCTACATGAAGCCAAAAATATTTTGGGATATATGCTTTATCACATGGTAACCCAAGTAGTATGAGGTTGTTTTATTGGACTGATCTAAGACAGTCATCTTCCTGATGCTCTTCCAAAAGCACCCCCGCCCTACAAACACCAACCATATCTGTGGCAAAATCACATCTGACTTGTGGCAATCAAAGTTGTTGAAATACCTGTTCAGTTTAACCATGAAGAATGACTGAATAATAAATTGATGGCTCCGGAATGCATACTTCATTTAGCCAGCTATTTTAATGAGAAGAAGTAAAACAACTTACACATTGTTTGTGCATGTCGGTCATTCGGTTTCTAAAGTTGGCCATCATATTATCAAATGAATGGAAAGGGTCCTTAATATCAGAGACCTAAGATATCAAATAAGGCAAAATAAACACAATTTAGGAAAACATAGAGCACATTGATCATATTTACCTATTGAACACTGGCATACATATATTAATTTCAAGTGTTTTCTTAAATGCAAAATCAGGCAAAACTATCTAACATTTATAGGCCTCATAATGGAGAGAAAGCTGAAAGAGAGCTGAACAAAAATAGCATCGACTCTACTTCTACTCTATGGGCAGCACAGTGGCTAAACTTCTGCCTGGCAGTACTAGGGTTGTTGGTTCAAATCCCAACCATGGCACCACTTGCCTGGAGTTTGCATGTTCTCCCTGTGCCTGCGTGGGTTTCCTCCCACACTCCAAAGACATGCTGGTAGATGAATTGGATCCTGTCTAAATTTGCTTTAGTATATGCAAGTTAGGGACCTTAGATTGTACACTCCTTGAGGGTTAGGAACTGATGTGAATGTAAAATATATATGTAAAGCGCTGCGTAAATAGACGGCGCTGTATAAATAACTGTAATAAATAAATAATACTTCTGGTTTCTCTTTACTCCAAATTATAAATGGGTCCTGTGGAATCACACTAAACCCATCAGATGTACCATTTTATTTATCTGCATTGGTAATAACTACTAGAATCAGGTAAATCATTTTGCTGCAATTTTACATCACCAAAAAGCATAACTGTATCTCCACTGACCTTTATAACCAAGTTGTCCATCAAACATACTCACATGCCTAGGGAATCCCGCATCAATCTGTTTCGCTGCTGCCCACCATGTCCCCGCGCCATCATCTCCCTCTCTTAAAGTGATTCTAAAGGTTCATTTTTTTGGGGGGGAAATAATAAACATGCTACACTTACCTGCTGTGTGCAGTAGCCTGCATCCACCTTCTTCTCGGGTTCCACGCAGGCTATCCTGGCCCCTTGCTCCTGTCGGGTGCCCCCACAGCAAGCAGCTTGCTATGGGGGCAAACATTGCTCCGTGTGTCCATTCACACACGGAGCCACGGCTTGGCCTTGCTCCCCCGTCTCTCATTGGTTGACTGGCTGTGATTGACAGCAGCGGGAGCCAATGGCACCTACTTGCGGTCTCAGCCAATGAGGAGGCAGAGAGCCGGGACAGTCGAGGCAGGTGTTCATATCGCTGGCTCGCAATGAGGCTCAGGTAAGCATTGAGGGGGCTGGGTAAAAAACCTTGAGCCTTTACAACCACTTTAAGTCATCTCTGGGCTGGCTCTCTTCCTGGTTGTGGCAGCAGACCCCTTAATGATTTGCCCCTAATGATGCACTGTAGTGTCCCCAAGTATAAGAAAAAAAATATATAAATGTGCAATTGGGGGGGGGGGGGGGGGGGTTGGTGTTAAGGTCTGCATTAAAGCTGCATTAGTTTTCTTTTTTTTGACCTAGGGATCCTGCCAGTACCACATTTCCCTAGGGTGACCACACTCTCAATATACTGTATCTATTGTGGACAGAAAATGCATTGGGAATACGGAACACCTCTTTCCCATAACAGTGGTGGAGGTGTTCTGTAATCCACAGAAACAACTGAGAATAATGCTGATAACAGTGATGCAAAGGCAATTCACGTTCTTTAATAAAAAAAGCATGCATTCCACATTAATAATTATGCTACAAAAATTAGTGTGTGCTGTAAATTGCCTCCAGCATTGCTCCTATTTCTTCTTGTTGGAAGTCGCCATTTTGTCCAGAGCAATAAAATTCCTTATTGGAATCAGTTGCTCTTCTCCTTGGGTCAAAAACTTTATAATTTGGATATGTACATTTACAACTTTTATTACATGACTTGGCTTGCTTAATTTTAATGTTTTACATAACTATACATACAAAAAGGGCCAGTCTGAAGAGATATATCAGGACTTAATTGTTTGACAAAAGTTCCACTTTAAAGGAAGTAAATAAGAAAAAGTTCATTGTTACAGTTTACATATACTTTAATATGACTAACACAGTTTAAAAATGAATTCAGGTAGTTTTAGGGAGGGGGGCACACAGTCTGACATGCAAAACTCTTCATAAAATGGAGTTTTCACAGAAAACTGAAGAACCACGTAAAACTACTGAGTCAGTCGTGGACAAGTTAAAGTGTTACTAAACCCAGGACCCTGCATTCACTATGTCGGGTCCCCCACAGTACACACAACATGGAAATGCAATTATTTAAGTAAATATAAACTGCTAAATCTTTTCTCATCAGCAGTATATAGCAGTCTTGGGATTTCTATCAGTGCCTAGCCAAGCACTGGTTAATCTTGTAAGAGGAGTTTTCATTCTATCCTGACTGTCCTATGAGGCTTCATAACCCGTGACCCCCTCTCTCTGGACAGCGCTAACTGCCCTGTGCTGATCACATGCAGCCTCCCAAGAAGAAGAAAAACTCTCCAGCAATACACACCACACTGAGCATGTGCAGACTTGCCACTGCTGTTTTAACTATGGCAGATGGATTGTGACAGTAAAAGAAGGGAAGGGTCAGAGAAGACAGGAACAAACAGCGTTTTCACACAATGCAGAGGATTAACCCTTTAAGTTCCACAAAGTATAACAAGCATGCTTTATTGCATATACAGACTGATTTTACTAACACTTTAATGTTTCATTCATTTGCAAGTAGCTCCAATACAGAAGCCAACAAGAACTATTAAGAAGCCAGGACACCTGCTTTTACAACAGCTGAAAGTAGTTTGGTACATCTACTACCCAGATCCAGAAGTTTGTAAAGAACTGGTCTGAATAAAGTTATCCTGCATCTCAATAATGTGTATGTCTTCTATAATTCTCTTAATTTAATTGGGTCATATTCCTGTATATATAAGTGGTGATAAGAGATCTAAGATAGCATGGCAGACATTGTTGCTCAAGTCACTGAATAATTTGTTTTAATATATGAAGGGAGTGTCATCCTCGTCTTCTGGCAGGTTAGACATATATAAATTAAGCATGAGAAGGCATACTGAAAGGAAACCGGACACCAATGAAAAAATAGGCTGTGAGAATTTTCTTTAATTAACATAGTGACTGAGATCTCTCAGGTTGCATTACAGATTTCAGTGTTTTTAAATATCTAACTGGAGTTCAACTATGCATGTATGCTTGTAATTGACATACAAAGCTTTTACATAACACTAGCATGGAGACATAGCAGCTACTCAAAAGGACTCTTGCTGTTATCTCAGAAGTCCATTTGTAGTTTAATAAAGATCTGTACTTATCGATTTATGTAATCACACACACGACTGTTTAGGTCTCCACAATAATTTTATTATTGTTCTTTAATGACTTCTATATACAGATCATAATACTCACAATCCTCTTGCAGCTACATAAATTGCTCTCTAAATGCACTTGTTTTAAGACATCCAGACAATACAAAAAAGTATCCCATTTAGTCTTCACTGTTAACGCATATACAGTGCATTCATAAAGTATTCAGCCCCCTTCACTTTTTTCAATTTTGTTGTTTCAGCCAGATTGGTGGAGAGCTGCAGTGATGGTTGTCTTTCTGGAACTTTGTACCATCTCCACACAGGATCTCTGGAGCTCAGTCAGAGTGACCATCAGGTTCTTGGTCACCTCTCTTACGAATGCCATTCTCCCCTGATTTCTCAGTTTGGGCAGGCCACCAGCTCTTGGAAGAGTTCTGGCTGTGCCAAACATCTTCCATTTGAGAATTATGGAGGCCACTATGCTCCTGGGAACTTTCAGTGCAGCAGACATTTTTTGTAGCCTTCCCCAGATCTGTGTTCCTTTGATATCATGGCTTCGATACAATATGCAGGGTTAGCTGTGTGACCTTTTATAAAGAGGTGTGCACCTTTCCAAATCATGTCCAATAAACTTAATGTACCGCAAGTGGACTCGAATCAAGGTGCAGAAACATCTCAGCAACGATCAAGAGAAATGGGAGGCACTTGAGCTAAATTTCAAGTGTTGTTGCAAAGTGTCTGGATACTAATGCCAATGTGATATTTCAGTCTTTTTTCATAAATTTGCAAACATTTCTTTAATTCTGTTTTCACTTTGTCTTTGTAGGGTACTGAGTGTAAAGTGGTGAAATATGTGCAAAGCATAATCCCCCTATAGTGGGTACTTGTCTCAATTAAGAGCACAAGTGACATTTCTGTCTGCTGCCTCGTTCCTCTGCTATCAGCAGGAATCCCTTCTGACAAGTTTTCCTGACACCAAGAGAAAAATGGTGACAGTGGAGGGCACAGCTTCAGCTCTGTTCCTGTGTGCTGTGTAGAGGGGTGGGTGGGGGCGAGAGGTGTCCCTTCTCTCCAATCAGCTTTCAAAGCTCTCTTCACAATTCTACATTTTGAATAGAAGTGGAGGAAAGACTGCTGTAGTTAGCAGGTACAACTTTTGTAGGAGGATTTTTTTCATCTCTGTGTATCACCTGAAACCAGTCACATCACTGAGTATATGTAAGGGTTTACATGCACTTTCATGAGAAAAAAAATTATTTTAAAACAACTGTAGTATCAGGCTGCCTACAACATAACAAAATTGTAAAAAAGTGGAGGGGGTCTGAATACTTTATGAATGCACTGGTATTTAGTTGTGTGGTAAAGTAAAGTTGTCCTGGTTTAAAGTGCCTAAAGGCAACAATATAGCTGAAGTTCTCGCCCATAAAGCAATTCCTGTGTCCCTTTCTGCCCGTAATCAGTCTCACGCTGAGAGAATATTAATCATTCCATTTGACAGCCGCACATATGCATACTTCTAGATATTAAACCTATGCCAGGCCTAGGATCCAAAGAATAGAAGGATCACAGGACGCAGGTTTCCCACACCACGTTCTGGTGTGAACTGGCCCTAAGCATGGTGGTCAGTGAGAATGATGCTTCTTATATTAGTAGTCAGTGGGAAAAACACCCCTCTTTATAGATAACTAAAAAAAATGCTTGATGTCAGTGGTTAGCTAACAAAGAGGCAGAAATTGTTTTCTTCTCAGGGGACCCTTGGCAACCTCTGGAAGAACCTTGTCTGAGAAAAGAGGCTTTATATTAATCATGTAACAAAGCAGTGTTTATATTCTTAACACACCATGCCATCATTTTTGCAGTTATTTCAGACAGCTTTGAATAAAAGGTGAGGCAAAAAGCAAACTCTGGTTTATGGTTAGAGTAAAAAAAAAAATGCCATGCTTTCAAATAATACAACACAGACCCAAAGTACTGACCATACTAGAACATGAGGCACTAGGCATGTGGCTTAGACTCGATGCCTGCAAGAAAAGTATCAATGGAAATTAAGATTATTTATTAAATGCTGCTGTTTCAAATGTTTGCTGTAAAAATAGAAACAATCTACAGTTTACAAAGATTGTTACCTTTACTTATTATTAGTTTCTGCAGAGAACTATCCTTGCAGCAAGCAGATCTTATCAGTGAAAAGAACAGGCTGGTTGCCAGAGGCCAGACTTTGACAAATAAAGCTCACACTTATACATTTTCAAAAAGGCAAATAGACATTATAAACATTGTGGGCAAAAGTAGATCTGTTGCAAAAATGAAGTTAACTAGCGTATGTATCAGTAGGGGATATAGTAAATACCTCCCTGGCTGCCTGTGCCAGCACTCTAGTTCAGAGGAATTGCCACCTGCAGTTTATTCTAAACTTACACTTATTGGAATGTGGATCTCCTGTGTCCCCTGCTGCGTTTGGTGGTTCCTCCTGCCAACTCTTCCAACACTACAAAATACGGGGTGGACCCATTGCATATGACAGCCATTGGCCAATCACCAAGCATCATCATCGTCAAACGCTCCTCCATACTCTCATATACCAGGTCTTTATTTTGTTCCCAGTGGCTGAAAGTGCAGTGGGGAGACTGCTGGAGACAGATGCATTAAAGTAAACCTGTTTCTTTGTTGATCACGGACAACGCACAAGTTTGTTTTAAGGATGGTGTTGCACCTTAAATGTCTAAATTAAATGTGATGAAACTGGATTAAATAATAAGCAGCTGTGTATTAAATAAACCTTAAGGCTCCATACACACTAGTGTTTTTTTAAGCTCCTAGAAGCGGTTATCAGCATTTTTTTCTGCTACTAGAAGCTAAATAGTGTTACCCTATGTGTCCATGCACACTATTTTAGGCTAGTAGTGTTTTTCAAGCATCAACATTTAGGACCAGAAAAAAAAAAAAAAAAAAAGTTTTGTAGAGTTTTTGGGAGTGTTTTTCGGGCAGAAAAAAAAAGTTGAACACTCTTAAGCGCCACTAAAACGCTCCTAACAGCTTTTATTTTTTTACACGTACTGTGAAAACGCTAATAAGATGCTAATGCTCCTAAACATTACTAAAACACTAATACAAAGCCAGCACAAAAACACTTATCAGCGTTTTTCATCCAGCTTTTCTTTCTAGTGTTTTTGAGCTTACAAAAAAAACGCTAGTGTGCATGGAGCCTAAACATCCAAATATCTCACCTGCATGTTAAATGTAACTATTAAGTCATAATAAATGATGAGCTAGGATGTAAGGGAAAAGCACCCTGTGTTATGATACAAGTGAGGACTATTAGTATGAGATCCACCTCACCCCCCAGCATGACCATGCTTTGCTTTTCATTCAGAGATGGTGATCAGCCCAATGTCTGATCCTTACATTCAGATGAGGCTATGTAAAAGACCACTAGCATTTGGTCAAGTAACCTGCTGCTGTAGGAGCCTAGAATAGCATTTTCTGCAAGAGAGGAAAGAATTTCCTTTAGCCATTTACAAGATATTGATCATTTCACTATAGCTCCACTTTAAAAGAAAGGATAGAGGGCAAATTAACCTTACTTTAGGGAAATTATGTTTACATCATATCAGGGCATATCATATTATTACTGAGGAAACTGGAAAACTGTAGATTCAGAAAAAACACAAATCGTATACATTTGCAATTGAAAAGCAGAATCCAATGTGTCAGATTCAGTACCATCTCTGATTGTGCTAACCTTCCTAAAAAGAAGAAACATATTGCACACTGACCACTACACTTATTAAAGCTTGTCTGAACTACAGCAATATGTCTCTTGGTACAGCTCATATACATAGATAGCATCGTTATACATGTTGTTTCATCAATCGTTAATAAATGACTGCTATATTATTACTTCATTAGCAAGCCCCAGTCAAAATGTATATCTTGTTTTCCAATTTATCTTGATTAGTTTATGGGTGGTTTGCCTCTGAAAATAATCTTTGTACGGTCTTTCCCCCCCAAAAATGAATGCTTATATCATCTCCAGCCTCTTTAGATTTGTGATGGAAGCAGGACATACTAAAACCTTCCGTTTTAGGAAGGCCCAGTTGTGCTTCTACTACAACTGAATGTATTTATTCATAAATGGTTTAATATAGGATATATTTGCATATCACTATCTATATACACACACACACAAAATACATATATGTAATATATATATACACACTTACAGTTTAAGTTGCTATGATCGGAACACATTTGGCACATTCCCCTTTTGACCTGCAAATGACTGCTTTCTCTAAAGCCCATTTATTGAGCTACAGATATGCAAGTTCAGATTACAGTACCAGTGACTGGCAGAGCTCCAACAACCCCTAAAGTGTTTATTCTTGAGGTCTTAAGTTCCATGGGCCAGATAAGAGTAGCACCCCTTAAATGAATCTGCCCCTGGCCAAACTTTCCCATGCCGTCTGTGTTGTTTTCCTAACATTTTTTAAGGAAAAAACATTCATGTGTCTGCAAAAGGTTGCTTTCAGCAAAGGGTTTTGGCACACTATATATAGCAGATGGAAGAATGCCAGGCTTGCTTTTATCAGTTACACAGCCAGGAGTATAGGAACTGACATCTGTCGTACAGGCTCAACAGTGCTAAACTTGTACATCAGTGTCTGTAACTGTAATTATGTGCCTGCTAGGTAGTTAAACAGTTAATAGAGTAGAATTAACAAGTGTTAAACTATTATAGGAATAGTACAGGGTAAAAACAGCTGTGGATTAAATCACTAGGAAAGAAAAGAGCAAATTGGGGCAGTTAAAGGTTGGCATTACTGCTGGCAGTGTATACCTAAACTAACAATCAGGTCTTTGAAATTAATCTGGCCATAAAATCTAAGCTGATGACAGCACTGTGATTTGAGGAACTGCCTACCCTGTGATCTTCTCTCAGAGCCACCTGGGAAGAGTTCTGCCCTCTTCGGATATGGGATCTGCCATCTGTGATACTGAAGAAGGGATCCCGGCCAAAGGGATCAGAGAAGCTTCTCATCATCTGTCTGACATGCTCTTGGTGTGCACGCAATGGATCCCTGTGAAAAAAAGCAAAAAATAGTATACAACTGCAATGAGAATATACTGTATGATAAATAAAAAGCAGTAATAAGCATTTATTCACACATTTATGCATTAATGCATTCTAATGGCCAAAATAATAATTTATTCTGGCCATTAGAATGCATTAACACACAAATGGACTTGTATGTGTCTAGCATTTATGTGTATTCTGCTTTTTTTCTGCTCAATAAGCTGGTGATGTTTTCTTTTTTGTTCTCTATGGAGCGACGGGTGTAAATGGACATGTGTCTGTTTACACCCGCTGACATCTGACCCGATCCTATCCACTAAAAACAGATGGATGGGTATCATTCATAGTATTTAAAATTTCTGAAAAACATAACTATACATTAATATTTATATTCATCTTCCAAAAAACAAACACTTTAGAAACAAGTGGAAAAATGACATTGCTATTTCCAATGCAGTATCGGATTGATGCTTCCTAGGTGAGAAGAAATCCTTCTAAGGTGGGGGAATCCTGGGGTGTCACCAAATCTAGTGTCCCCATTGGAAGACTCTATTACAGTTCTGGTGTCAACTCAAAATCTGGGCTTTTCTTTTATTTCCACTTTTAGTGATAATAGTAAACGGGGCAAAGACAGCAATGAAAACTGTCAGGTGTACTAATCCCTCTCCACTGTATTCAAAAACAAAGTTATGTATTTTGGTCACAATGGGGTTGATTTACTAAAACTGGAGAGGGTAAAAATCTGGTACAGCTGTGCATAGTGGCCAATCCACTAACTTCAGCTTGTTCAGTTAAGCTTTGACAATAAAACATGGAAGCTGATTGTTTTTTTTTTTTTTGCAGAGCTGCACCAGATTTTGTACTCTCCAGGTGCAGGTCTGGTTCAGACCTATGCAGTTTGCTTTTGATCTGTTTCTGCAGTGCGTTCTGTGTTTTTGCATATATGCAATTTGTGTTTTTTATGCTTTTTTTTTTGGACAATTTGTGGTTCGGCAAATTAATCGCAAAACATCTGAAAAACACGTCAAAAGCGTGTCAAAAACGCACTACATGCTTTTCTGCAGCATTTCCATCAAGGTCCATTGAACCAAAAATGCACTATTTTGTGTTTAAAAAAGTCCCTGGCCCATTCCAAAAATGCAGCAGCTAAATAAAATCGACGTGAACGTGTCTCCGAGGAAACTATGTTAAATGGACTGTAATGCACTTCTGTGAAAATCACCAAAAAACGCATTGGTGTGAACTATCTTGTTGCAGCTCTTGCTCAGAGTCTACTAGTAGATGGGAGAGGTGTGTGAAATTTTAAATCAGTATTTTTTGCTAGGAAATGTCTTAGAACCCCCAAACATTATATATTTTTTTAAAGCAGAGGCCCTAGAGAATAAATGGGTGGTTTTTTTGCATTTTTTTTATGTCACACACTATTTGCGCATCAATTTTTCAAATACTATTTTTTGAAATACACTTTTTTAATTACATTGCAGAAAAACACAATACATAACCCAATTTTTGTAAAATATAAAATAGGATGTTACACTGAGTAAATAGACACCAAGCAAGTCCTGCTTTAAAACTACGCACGCCTGTGCACTGATGGCACATGATGTAAATTTTACTATTCATAGGAGACGCTCTAAAAGCCTTTACAGGTTACCACTTTAGATTCACAAAGGGGGTCTAGTGCCAGAATTACTATACTTACCTGCTGTGTGTAGTGGTTTTGCACAGAGCAGCCTGGATCTTCCTCTTCTCGGGTCCCCCACAGGCTATCCTGGCCCCTCCCTCTTGTCGGGTGCCCCCACAGCAAGCAGCTTGCTATGGGGGCACCTGTTGCTCTGTATGTCCATTCACACAAGGAGCCGCGGCTCGATCTCACCCCCTCTTTTCTCATTGGCTCACTGGCTGCGATTGACAGCAGTGGGAGCCAATGGCTCCAGCTTCTGTCTCAGCCAATGAGGAGTACGGGGATTGCCGAGACTCCAGTGCACATCGATGAATCAAGAGCGAGCTTAGCTGAGTACTGAGAGGGCTGCTGCACACAGAAGGTTTTTTACCTTAATGTATAGAATGTGGTGGGACAGGAGTTTATTAGAGAGCCGCAGAAGGTGGCAGGAGGGGGGGTACATCCCCTCCCACAGCAGCATCACGCCAGTACAGCCACTTAAAGGCCAGCGACGAATGGGTATGTCGCTGGTCTGGAAGTGGTTAACTGGCACATTCTTATATAAATTCTAATAGCATACTCAGAGCCTCAGTGTAATTTCTCAAAGTATACAGTTATACAGCACATTTTCAACACAACAATGATATGAATTAACGGACTTCTTTTGTAAAATGCCAGCAGTTACTGTCAGTCTTTTTGTAGCATGTAATACTGAAGAGCAGGGGAGTTCAACAGAAAAACAAAAAAACTTTAGCGATTACAAAAACATCTTCCCTCAAAGGCCAAGCTCACTTTTTTTCTAAACTCCAGCTTCCCTACGCACCAACATATTATGGTGTTCTGCTGCAGAAAAGAAAGAGATTTCTTTGCCTTTCAGGACAAGGCCTTACAACAGCCTCCAGTACGTTCCATAAAAATACTCCTCCATTACTTCCAGCCCCATCATGAATTTGCTACTTAGGACATGAACAGTAAAAGGGAGTAGTTCACCAGCTGCCTGTCCTCCCCCTCCTCCAGGAGATTGCTCCCACCTCTGTACTCACATACAATCATTATCAGTCTATACTGTATCATTAATGATCTCACTAAATACAAAGCCAGTGATTTCTTGTGGATGGAGTGTGGATGAGCGGAGCGATCACATAAGAGCTCCACATGTGGAGCAGAGCTTTACTACTGAAAACAGGAGAGGTGTCCCTGGAAGTCTGCACAGCTCACCATACACTACACAATCTGATTGTGCCAATCAATGAAAAGTGAATAGTGATTATCCTGCGCCTACCTGTAAACCGTGTCTAAATCATGTCTATTAAATCACAATAAAAATCAGTGCAAATCAAGCAAAAACTGGGGTGGCTGCAACTGAAGTGTTGACGCTAAATGAAATAAACAAATAAATGTGATGCTGCACCTCCCTGCAACAGTGATCTCCACTCAAATGATAATTATAAATGAATCATATACAAAATAACAGGCACGTAATTGCAGACAGTGGGTCTGCAGCTCCCACGTGACTTTCGGACTCGGCTCCGCCTACACACCGGTGTTATTTTATCATATGGGAGGGTCATTTTAATTTAATAAACCTCTTATTCATACTTACTTGACTTTGGGAACCTCCTTTTCTATATGAGTGTACCTTAGAAACAGAGACTGCATTCTTAAAGGGCCAGGCTACCTATGGTGGGCAACCCGGATTGTGGGCAAAGGAGAGATGGGATACCTAAAAAAGCAGCTATATACAAGAGGAACAGATTTAAAGTGTTACTAAAACACACAAGAGTAAAATCAGTGTGTATATGCAGTAAAGCATGCTTGTTATACTCTCTGTGGAACCTAAGGGGTTAATCCTCTGCATTGTGTAAATAGGCCGTTTGATCCTGACTTCTCTGCTCCTCCTTTTGTTCAAATGTCCACGTCTTATCTCCTGATAAGATAGACTGAACAGTAGCCATTCTGCACATGCTCAGTTTAGTGTGTATTGCTAGAGAGGTTTTTTTTTTTCTAGCAAGAGTGCATGTGATCAGCACAGGGCCAATCAGCACTGTCCAGACAGAGGCCAGGTGTTTTGCATCCTCCTTGAGAAGAAAGAAAACTCCTCTTACAAGCTTTAACCGGTGCTCTGCTGAACACCAACAGAAGTCACAAGCCTGCTCTAACTGCTGATGAGAAAAGATATTTAGCAGTTTATATTTACTAAAACCCCAGTGAATGGGTTACCCTATGCGTAACAAGCGGAAACCCTCGAAAATGCCCCGGAGATGTGAACGGAGCCTGGCATCTGAGTGTCTCCATCCTTCTAGGTGATTTTACAATTTGTGTAACATTTCCTTTAGAGGGGATTCACACATATGCGATGCGGATTAAAGCTTAGGTTTCACAGCCAATTGATACAGTAGCTGTTCACAGGTTCATGTCAGGTTTACATCAGGACCTTATCCCATTCACACACATGTGGTATAGAAACGGTTCCCATAGAAGTCAATGCCCTGTAATCTGCACCTGAACCTGAAGCCACTGCTCAGAAATCAAACATGACTTTTTAAAACCGCAGTGAATCTTAAACTGCCGTGCACCACACATATATGAACAGGTACCATAGGAAGCAATGTTATTTCACATGTCATGCGGATTGAATGCGGTTCAAACGCATTCAATCTGCATATACAGTGTCTTAAAAGTATTCATTACCATTGAACCAAAAACGTAAATATATTTTATTGGGATTTTATGTGATAGACCAACACAAAGTGGCACATACCGTATTTTTCGCACCATTAGACGCACCTGACCATAAGAAGCACCTAGATTTTAGAGGAAAACAAACAAAAAAATATATTCTGAACTGCAGACATAGTACAGGAGATGACCAGAGACCGCAGACATAGTACAGGAGATGACCAGAGACCGCAGACATAGTACAGGAGATGACCAGAGACCGCAGACATAGTACAGGAGATGACCAGAGACCGCAGACATAGTACAGGAGATGACCAGAGACCGCAGACATAGTACAGGAGATGACCAGAGACCGCAGACATAGTACAGGAGATGACCAGAGACCGCAGACATAGTACAGGAGATGACCAGAGACCGCAGACATAGTACAGGAGATGACCAGAGACCGCAGACATAGTACAGGAGATGACCAGAGACCGCAGACATAGTACAGGAGATGACCAGAGACCGCAGACATAGTACAGGAGATGACCAGAGACCGCAGACATAGTACAGGAGATGACCAGAGACCGCAGACATAGTACAGGAGATGACCAGAGACCGCAGACATAGTACAGGAGATGACCAGAGACCGCAGACATAGTACAGGAGATGACCAGAGACCGCAGACATAGTACAGGAGATGACCAGAGACCGCAGACATAGTACAGGAGATGACCAGAGACCGGACATAGTACAGGAGATGACCAGAGACCGCAGACATACTACAGGAGATGACCAGAGACCGCGGACATACTACAAGAGATGACCAGAGACCGCGGACATACTACAGGAGATGACCAGAGACCGCGGACATACTACAGGAGATGACCAGAGACCGCGGACATACTACAGGAGATGACCAGAGACCGCGGACATACTACAGGAGATGACCAGAGACCGCGGACATACTACAGGAGATGACCAGAGACCGCGGACATACTATAGGAGATGACCAGAGACCGCGGACATACTACAGGAGATGACCAGAGACCGCGGACATACTATAGGAGATGACCAGAGACCGCGGACATACTACAGGAGATGACCAGAGACTGCGGACTGCTTTGGGGAGCGTGGGCACTACCCGAATTTGACAGGTACCCACTCCCACTTCCGAAGAGCTGTCCTTTCCGTAGTCCCAGAAGGCTACAGGTGGCCATTCACAAAGCACAGCTCTTCTCGCGCATGCGCAGTGGGCACCCAGCTGTGAAACCGCAAGCTGTCCAAGCTGGGTGCCCACACTGAAGATGCCGAAGCCGGGGAGAGAATACGGCCGGTGAAAGCAGAACACCGCTGGACAGAGGAACAGGTTCTTCTGCACTGTAGAGCAGAGCGGCCGGCCCGATATTCTAACAAGGCGGCGGGCATAAACTGGGCCGGCAACTCCATATTTGCTCCATAAGACGCACAGACATTTCTCCCCATTTTTTTGGGGGGAAAAAGTGCGTCTTATGGAGCGAAAAATACGGTAATTGTGAAGTGGAAGAACAATAAATGGTTTTCAAAATTGTTTTATAAATAAATACCTGAAAAGTGTGGCGTGCATTTGTTTTCAGCCCCCAAGTTAACAATCTGTAGAACCACCTTTCACTGCAATTACAGCTGCAAGTCTTGTTGGGTATGTCCAGCTTTGCACATCTAGAGAGTGAAAGTTTTGCCCATTCTTCTTTCCAAAATAGTTCAAGCATCTGTCAGATTGGATGGAGAATGTCTGTGAACAGCAATTTTCAAGTCTTGCCACAGATTCTCAATTGGATTTAGGTCTGGACTTTGACTGGGCCATTCTAACACATGAATATGCTTTGATCTAAACCATTCCATTGTAACTCTGGCTGTATGTTTAGGGTCGATGTCCTGCTGGAAGGTGAACCCCCAAATCTCAAGTCTTTTGCAGACTCTACAGGTTTTCTTCAAAGGTTGCTCTGTATTTGGCTCCATCCATCTTCCCATCAACTCTGACCAGCTTCCCTATCCCTGCTGAAGAAAAGCACTCCCACAACATTATGCTGCCACCTCGTTTCACAGTGGGGATGGTGTGTTCAGGGTGATGTGCAGTGTTAGTTTTCTGCCACACATAGCATTTGGCTTTTTAGGCCAAAAAGTTCAATTTTGGTCTCATCTGACCAGAGCACCTTCTTCCACATGTTTTCTGTGTCTCCTACATGGCTTCTCGCAAACTGCAAACGGGACTTCTTATGGTTTTCTTTCAACAATGGATTTCATCTTGCCACTCTTCTATAAAGGCCATATTTGTGGACTGCACGACTAATAGTTGTCCTGTGGCCTGTCCTGTCAGTTTAGGTGGCCAGGCATGTCTTGGTAGGTTTGCAGTTTGTGCCATACTCTTTTCATTTTCAGATGACGGATTGAACAGTGGTCCGTGAGATGTTCAAAGCTTGTGATTATTTTTTTTTTATAACCTAACCCTGCTTTAAACTTCTCCACAACTTTATCTCTGACTTGTCTGGTGTATTCCTTGGCCTTTATGATATGGTTTGTTCACTTATAAACCTCTGAGGGGTTCACAGAACAGCTGTATTTACACGGAGATTAAATTACACATAGGTGAACTCTATTTACTTACTACTTAGGTGACTTCTGAAGGCAATTGGTCCCATTAGATTTTAGTTAGGGGTATCAGAGTAAAGGGGGCTGAATACAAATGTACGCAACACTGTTCAGATATTTATTTGTAAAAAAATTTTGAAAACCATTTATCAATTTTCCTTCCACTTCACAATTATATGCCATTTTAAGTTGGTCTAGCACATAAAATCCCAATACATTTTGTTTTTGGTTGTAATATGACAACACATGGAAAATTTCAAGGAGTTTGAATACTTTTTCAAAGCACTGTATGTGAACGGCACTTAGATTTACCAAAACTATGGCATAGGAGGACACACAACAATATATTCAATTTGTATAAAATCTGACAGGCCCTTGCATACATAGCTGATGGTCGATCTAAAGGAGATTGTACAGAAAGTGGGCAGAAATAAAACAAGAGGTGGTATAGTAATAAAGGAGGTATGGTCTAGACCAGGGGTCTCCAAACTATGGCCCTCCAGCTGTTAAAGTACTACAAGTCCCATCATGCCTCTGTCTCTGGGAGTCTTGCCTGTGACTGTCAGAGTCTTGCAAGGCCTCATGGGACTTGCAGTTACTCAACACCTGGAGGGTCATAGTTTGGAGACCCCTGGTTTAGACTGATGATACATGCCTATTTTGTGATGCACTAAGTCAGAGCATGATGGGATATGATCTACAGGAAAAGGTGAACTTAGCTTGTAAGCTGGCCTTTTCCCTATACTCACTAAGAAGTCTATTTATAAACGTTTTTGCCAAAGCATTCATACAACATTCACACAAGATTCAGAAGATTCTCAGTGAAGAATAAAAACTACTTATCTGCAAAATTTTATAACGGAAACAAAAAAAAAAAAAAAGATTTGTTTTTTTTTTTTTTTTCAAAAATTGTCTTTTGCTTTTTTGCAAGAAATAAAAATCCCAGTGATGATTAAATACCACCAAAAGAAAGCTCAATCTATGTGAAAAAAAATGATAAAAATTTCATATGGGTATAGTGTTGCATGACCACGCAATCGTCAAAGTGAGAGAGTGCTGAAAGCTGAAAATTGGCCTGGGCAAGAAGGGGGTGAAAGTGCCCAGTATTGAATTGGTTAAAGTTGTTTGAATTATGTGTGAAAACATTTATAAATAGACCCCCCCCAATAGTTAACCACCACTTTTAAATCACGTCTGTTTAACCACACGACCACCTGAAGGTGGGCTCTCTGGTGGGAAATTGACACCCCAGTCCAACACAGGTTTTAAGGGGGAGCTATTATATCAGCATTAACAGATATACAATAGAAGCATATTGAGCAACACTGTTGAAGTGGAATGATAACCAAAGCACAGCCATTCAGCTTTCTAGATGGAAGGGTCTGGACTGACCTATCCACTTCTGGCAAATTAAGCTCCCTTTAAAACAACCTTAAACTGTACATTCTGAAACTTAAACCCATAATAAAGCACCAGAGACAGCAGACACATGTTGAAAAAGTTTGGCAGTAAGATAAAACTAGCATGGAACACAGGAAAATGTGTTCCAGTCTGCCCACCATCTGGGACTGGAAAAATATTCACACTTCAGCTGGAGCGTCTTCCTAAGTAAAAGGAAAAAGCAGCACTTGACTTCTTAGCTACTAAAAAGGAATGTCCTTGAGAGGTCCATGTAATGCCCAGACCAAAAAGGATTAGAGTAGCTGTGCAGGATTTGGAGATTTGTGAGTCTTCCTAGTAGTTCACACGACATCTTCAGACCATCTGAAACCATTCCAGAACTGGATCAGGAAAACTGAGCAAATCTTGCAGGCATTTATAATAAGTGACTCAATGTTTTGGATAGAGAACGGGGTTCTGTTAAGGACATATAAGCCTGCTGTACAAGGAAGCATTTTTTCATACACTAGGAAAAAAAAAAAATATTGACTTTTTTGTGGATATAAAAAACAAAAAACAAAACCAAAACAAAAAAACAGACAACATATTCAGTACAGCTCTGCAATACATACCCATTTCCCCACATTTTCTCCGTAAAAAAATGCTTCAAACACAGAAACATAATTGTTTATTTGCCTGAAGTCCATTGTGCTCCTGACTTCCAGTTTTGACCACTTGGCAACTGTGCCTCTGCTCAGGGGCGGACTGACAACTCATGGGGCCCCCGGGCAATAGGGGATCATGGGGCCACTGTGTCCTTGCCCAAACTCAAAAAACCCTATGAAAAAGGTACCAGGTCATCTCATGGGGCCCCCTACTGACCCCGGGCCCTCGGGCAGTGCCCGAGTTTCCAAATGGTCAGTCTGCCTCTGCCTCTGCTGCACTAAAACCCCAAGCAGTGTTTAACCCTGCCCAGTTACCCCTGCTGGACTACAGAACAGAACCATCCTCTGCAACATGGGGGCTATCTGTAGTCCAGAAAGGAGAACTAAGGCAGGGCTGTTACTGATTAGGATTTCAGTAGAAAAGAGATCTCGTGAAGTCAGGTGCTCACTGGATCCCAGTTATATCAATGGGTACTCTGTACTTGTAGCGTTTTGAGAGACAACACAAAGGGAAATGTCAATGCACTGCAGAGAGATTCTGAATAGGTTTGTTTTTTTGTTTTTTTTAAATTCTGCCCAGACAAACTCTTTCAAGTTCCTGTTCATCTTTTCACACACCCCTAGTGGACTTACCTCTGTGGGTGAGTAGCTGTCACAGCCCGCACAGTGGTCTAGGGATTTGGAAGAGCTCCTCTTCTTCTCAGTTTTTCATTA